ATGGAATGAGAAGGGAGATTAGCAATAGTGATTTTTAAAAAGAGGGCTATTTTAACAGTAAGATCTGGTCTGCAAATTCCTGACTCAGTGGAGTCATTGTTTTTTGTGTGGTTGAGTTTCTGTAGATTGCTACTGGACTCATTCACAGTTACCCTGCTGGGAGATTCTGCAGGTTTAAAGTGACTCAACTTCAGGCTCTCTCTGATTTCTTGCCCAGGTTTATTCCACAGCAGGTTTAGATGCAGGGCTAAAGATTAGAACTGATTCTCCTCTCTGTTGTTGGGTTCAGAGCCTCACAGTCATGGTTCTGGAAGTTGTTCCTTGCTCCTTACACATGGAGGGCCACTACTCCCTCATGATCATGACCACTCTTCTCTACCTGTGACTTGGAACTAGGTAATGGACAATAGAGCAGCGAAATGATACCTGTTCCTGCTGCCAGGGCTAGCACAAGGGCCTGGGGTCCCCTGGGATCCTCTTTCTTCTCTAAGCTGGAAAAAAAAAAAAGACTCACTGTGACTTTTTGTTGGCTTGCCCAATCAAAATTTGATCTGGTGTTCTTTATTGGTTGTTGTAGGGTGGAATGTGAAAGAGTTAAGACAAAACCATTAGCTCTTATTCTGCCATGTTGGCTCCACTTCCCATTGATATTTTTGAAACACTGACTGATTTGGGTCTTGGTCATGGATGCTGAAATGAGGCAGCAAGGTGGCTCAGTGGATAGAATCTCTGACCTGGAGTCAGGAAGATCTAAGTTCAAATCTGGCCTTAAACACTTAACTAGCTATGTGACCCAGGGCAAGTCACTTAACCTCTATTTGCTTTAATGCACTGGAGAAGGAAATGACAAACCACCCCAGTATCTTTGTCAAGAAAACCCCATGGATAGGGGGCAGCTAGGTGGCACAGTAGATAGAGCACAGACCCTTGAGTCAGGAGGACCTAAGTTCATATCAGACCTCAGACACATGATACTCACTAGCTGTGTGACCCTGGGCAAGTTAGTTAACCCCAATTGCCTTGCTTTAAAAAAAAAAAAGAAAAAGGAAACCCCATGGACAGTATTAGTGTGCTATGGTCCATAGTGTGAGAAATGCTAACGGTTTGGTTTCCACAGAATTGATAAGAAAACAGGACAGGGGGAGATTGGTTTACTGGTTTACTGGTTTATACAAATATGTAAACAAGATGTGGGGGAGATTGGTTTTCACAGACTCTTTAGAAACAATAGATATTGCATTGCAAACAGATGTTAAATGGGACGTGCTGGAATGTTGGAACAAAGTATAGGTGTGTGATTCCAATGAGGGAACACACCCAATTCTTGTGAGAATTGCTAATTATGGTATCTCTTCTCTCACTCCACTACTGTGATTTCATTATGACCCAGCTAACTCTTGTTCTGGGAATTCACTGAATTCTGAATTGAGTCTGGGGGGGGGGGGACATGATTGACTGAAGGGCATGGATACTGATTGTGCTTTCTGCTATCTTAAGAGTTCAGTTTTGAAAAGCATCTAAGACCAATGAGTGATTTGCTCAGAAAATAAATATTTTTTTGTTTTCCTGATGGAAATCTGTTGTTGTTTGTCCTTTGTTTTTGAAGAGGATCAATGACTTCATGGGGTGATGTCTTGACTTGCAAATGAATTGATTTAAATGAGGCAGAGTTGTGTAAAATCCTCAGCCTCATTCTTTCTTCCAGAGTCATCAAAGTCTATTGGTAAGACAAAAGTCTAGACAATTGATGATGACTTGGGATGCAGTGGATGACCTTGGTGTCTTCAACACCTGACCAAGTTCTAAGAGCTCTACTGTGCCTGCTTCAGCAACCTTCATGACTGGTGGAACAATTTGTTCTCATCTGCCCATTCCAGGGGAAGTCTTCACACTGCTTGGGGTAGACATCCTTCTAACTCACAGATGGGTTTGAGGCCTATTGGTTACCTTCAGTCTGACAAATGTAAAGATTTAAGGTCTTGGGATAAGAATTTGGTGTTTGATAAAAATTGTTGGGAAAACTAGAAAGGAGTTGGGCAGAAATTGGGTATAGTCCAGTATCTTACACCATTTACCAAAATGGATACATAACCTAGATATAAAGGAAGATATCATAAGTAAATAAGAAGAACTTGGAGCATATTATCTATCAGACATATGAATAGGAGAAAAATTTATGTATAAATAAGCAATAGAGAGCATTGTGAAGTATAAAATGGTTAATTTTGATTACCTTAAATTAAAAAGATTTTGTGCAAATAAAACCAATGTTGCCAAGATTAGAAGGAAAGCAGAATATTGGGGAAAAAATTTTATAGACAGTTTTTCAGATAAAGGTCTCATATCATATATAGAAAACTTTGTGAAGTTTATAAGAATATGAGTCATTTACCAATTAATAAATGGTCAAAAGATATAAACAGGCAGTTTTTCGATGCAGAAATCAAAGCTATATATGGTCATATGAAAAAAATGTTCTGAATCATTATTGATTAGAGAAATGCAAATTAAAACAACTTTGAGATGTCATGTCACAGCTATCAGATTGGCTAAAATGATAGAAGAGGAAAATGACAAATGTTGGAAAGGTTGTGGAAAAATTGGGACACTAATAAATACACTGTAAGTGGAACTGTGAACTGATCCAACCATTTGGAGAACAATCTGGAGTTATGCCCAAAGAGTTAAAAAATTGTGTATATACCCTTTGACCCAGCAATACCACTATTAGGTCTGTTTCCCAAGGTGATTAAGGAAAAAGGAAAAGAATCTATATGTTCTAAATATTTATAGCAGCTCTTTTTATGGTGGCAAAAAACTGGAAATTGAAGGGATGCCTGTCAGTTGGGAATGGTTTTACAAGTTGTGGTATATGACTGTGATTGAATACTACTGCACTGTAAGAAATGATGAACAGATTGATTTAGAAAAACATGGAAAGACTTGTGTGAAATAACGAACATTGAAATGAGCAGAACCAAGAGAGCAATGTATACAATGACAACAATATTATTTGAAGAATAACTATGAATGACTAAGTTATTCTGAGTTTCATAAATACTCAGATCAACTATAAAGGACCTATGAAGGAAGATGCTATCTACCTTCAGAGAAAGAACTGATAAATAGAAGTATAAATTAAAAAAACAAAACAAAACAAGGGATGACTGTCTAGGGTAGTGAGAAGGAATATATTTGGAAATGAATGTGATATAACAGCAAAAGCCATCAGTTTAAAAAAATCTATAAAGTCTTGGAAAGCCCTCACACCAGAGGTGCTAGTCATACCTCATATACCTCAGATTGAAATCTATCAGCAAATTAAATAGTAATGCTGAGCAAAGTCAATAGCAGTAGTAGTGATAGTTGTTGTGGAGTCATTTCAGTCATGTCTGACTCATGACCCCATTTGGGGTTTTCTTGGCAAAGATGCCAGAGTGGTTTGCCATTTCCTTCTCCAGCTCATTTTATAGATGAGGAAACTGAGGTAAACAGAGTGAAGTGACTTGCCTAGGGTCACATAGCTAGTAAGTGTCTGAAGCCAGATTTGAACTCAGAAAGATGAATCTTCTTCCTCACTCCAGGCCCAGCACTCTGTCCTCTGCGCCATCTTAGGTGGACCAGTAGTAATAGTAGCTAGCATTTATATAGCGCTTTAGGGTTTGCAAAGTGTTTTACAAATATCTCATTTGATCCTCAGAACAACCCTGGGAGGTAGGTGCTGTTGTTATCCCCATCTTACAGATGAGGAAACAGAGGCAAACAAGTTAAGTGACTTCCCCAGAGTCTTTGGTAGGATTTGAATTCAGTTCTTCCTAAATCCAAGTCCAGCACTACCTAGCTATGTACTACAATGAGAAATCATTACATTTTGGCATGCCATTATGTCCATTATATAAGATTAGCATTTGGAAATTATAATTAAGAAATAAATGTTAAAAACATTAATTAATAATGACATATCCTTTATAGACTATAGCACAGTAATAATAAGAATAAAAACATAAGCAAAAAGATGGAGACTTGATATCCACATCCTGAATAATGAGTGAGTCAGAGAACAAATTATAGAAACAATAACTGTAAAAGAGGATGATAATGAGACATCATACCACAATTTCAGGGATGTAGCTAAAGTATTTATAGGAAAATAGATGTCTCTGATCATATAAATTACCAAAATAGAAAAACAGGATTAATGTCGTGAATATACATGTCAAAAATTAGGTCTAACTGTGGATTGTTGAAGATACTGTCAAACTTTCTCTAGATTCCTTAGTTTTGCTAAACCTTTTCCCTTCTCTTTTCTTTTTTGTTATAAGAAGTCATTCTGAGAAGGACACAGGGATGGGATACACTGGGAAATATTGGTGACATAAAACCTAACAGGATCAATAAATACACTCTAAGCAATTTTAAAAATCAGTAAATAACCCCAAAATAAGCACAAATGAGGAAATCTTGAAAAATTAAAAAGAAATAGTTAAATTGGCAAATGAGAATATAGGATTAGTAAAACTAAAAGTAAACTAAAAGCTGTTTCTTTGAAAAAACTTGACAGAGTTGATAAACATTTTGCTAACCTGCTCACAAAGAAGTTGAAAGCAGAAATTGTGATTATGGCCAGAGTAGAAAGGGACATAAAGGTAATAAACACCAAAGAACAACAACAATATGATACAACAAAAGAGGTGGAGAAGTGTCAGAAAGGGAAGATGACTTTGGGACCTGGATGAGAAAAACAGAATGAAACTGGAAACCTTTGGGGGAAGCTGCTTCACAAGCATATACTCTTGGGGACTTTGAATTAGTGAAGTAATTGTTTTACTCAAGACCAACTTTTTGTTTCCTTTTTACTCTATTTTACCAAAGTTATTTTACTAAAGTACTACCAGGCTAAAATAATTTGTGACTTTCATTTTATATTGCTTTATGGAAAATAAAGGAAATATTCTTTGAACATTGATCAATTGTCCTGTCTGTTTTTCTCTCTTGAACAGATTTCAGATACATTCAGACAAGCCTCATGGAAGCATTTTGGGACACACCATTCAAGACAGTTATTTGAGATTACAAAGGTAAGATTAAACAGTCTTTTCTGCTGTTACAGCTGGGGGAAAAAGTGCAAGCCCTTAGAGTGTTTTCCAATTTATGCTTCGTATTTTACATCTCTCATATAATTTCCCTTTTCATGTTTTTTAAGTGCTTGAGAGATGAATAGGAAGTTATATTTCTGCCCCTGGGAATGAAAAAAAAATCAGCACTGAAATATTGTGTGTGTGTGTGTATATTTATGTGTATGCTGCCCCCTCCCTCCTTTTAACCCCTTGAGAAATCCTGCTAGATTTCTCAAAATCAATGCCAACTAGAATAACATGTTCCGAAAGCTTTTATAAATATAATGGCAGTTTGTTGACACTCAGATTTATCCTGGTGGTTTATATGTGATATGTGGAATGCAATGAGTTTTTTAAGTGACTGACGCTTCTTTCAAAGATTCCTGGTTAGCAGAATGCCCGGGATCCCTCAGTGTGTTAGAATCTACACAAGCTGCTGAGTTTGCATCTTGGTTTCACTTATTGGGAAATGAAAAGCAATTTGAGACAATTGCCAGTACTTTATTTTATTTTATTTTATTTTTTTTGTGAGGCAATCGGGGTTAAGTGACTTGCCCAAGGTCACACAGCTAGTAAGTGTCAAGTGTTTGAAGCCGCATTTGAACTCAGGTCCTCCTGACTTCAGGACTGGTGCTCTATCCACTGCACCACCTAGCTGTCCCTAATTGCCAGTACTTTAAAAAGACATAGGTGAACTTTCTGAATGGAAGGGAGCCTCAAAATTGGAAGCTAATCCAAATCCTAACTCCTTTGCTTTTGAAGCTGGTGTTTAAAAAGAGACCTCTTTTATAACTGAATTGTTTGAGGCCCTGCTATGTTATTTCATAGCCTTTTGCCCTTTGCCTTTTATGAACGTCAAGTTGACTTTGGTGTTCATTTGAACCTATAACATCACTTGTTACATCTGCCTTCAGGGAGAACTGGTTATACGGAGACTTCATTAGATTAAAAATCTCTTTTCTATATTTCCTGTTTATAAAACACACCCTAATTTTGATCCCGAAATCAGTAACTAATTTTGAGTTATAGCTTCTTGTTGGTTTCAACTCATGAGAATAGAGAGGGTCATCTCTCATAGATTGATTCAAAGCTGGTGCTATGATGATCTTTATATGTATTTGTGTTTGCAAAGCACTTTACTCTTATTAATGAATTATTGATAATTGTGGCTACTGCAGAGGCATAATTAATTTCATGCCTTCCGTGAGGTGTTAGTGGTTGTGACAATGCTTTTCTTTTTAAACATTGAAACAACAAGATTAACTATTTTGACTGTGTCTCATGTTTTACCACCCCCCCCCCATGCTTTATTTTTGTATTTTTCTAATCAGAGGAACACTTTCATTACACTGATGCTTGGCCCCACGCACCCTCTTCCCCCTCAACTCCCTTTAGTGTTTTATAATAGGCAGGAAAGTGCCTTAACTGATTCACAAGTGTTATTGGGAAATTTATGCATCTGTCTTTTTAAACTTAAAGTTCTTCAGTATATATGTGCATGGATAATGGAAGGATCAATGGATTTGGAGCCCGAAGACCTGGCTTTGAATTTGAGCTCTACTAATTATTAGTTCATTAGACTGTAGGCAAGTCACTTCTCTTTGACTTCAGTTTTCCCAATCTCACAAGAATTTTATGGATTTGTTATGAGGACAATTCCACAAACCTCAAAGGCCTATTATTTTTCTTAACATGTAGAAATTATAAAGTTCCATTCCTGTTCAAGGAGTTTGTGATCAATTAGAGAACAATAATGACAGGCAGCATGGCTTAGATTTCAAATCAGAGTTTCTGGATTTGAGTCGGGACTCTGATACTTACCATCTTTGTGACCTTGAGCAAGTCCCTAACTCCTGTGGGCCCCACTTTTCTTATCATTAAATGAGAGGGTTGGACTAGATGACAGCTAAGTGTCCTTTCAATTTTAAATTCTGTGATCCCATAATAGGGGAAAATAATTGATGCTAAATCAGATACACTCACTGTAAAGTGAGAAATCCACTTGAAAAGTAGGATATAGTCAGTGGCCATGTATCTTATTAAAGCTTGCTTACCATTTGGGACATGCTAAATCAGCTTTACTGTAGTGGTAAAAGGCTTTATGAGAGACATTACAAGTCACATCATTTTTGTACATCTTAGTTTCTCATAGGATATAGCGCCAGAAAGGACCTTAGAATTCATCTTAAAGAAGAGAAAAGTGAGGCCCAGAAAAGTGAAGGGAATTTCCCAAGGTCATAGGAGCAAAGATTTAGAGCTGGAAGAGACCTTAGAGCTCATCTAATCTAACCTCTTTCTTTATAAATGAGGAAACTGAGGTCCCAAGAGGCTAAGTGTCGTGGCCAAGGTCTATTTATTAAATGTCAGAGCACGGCTTCCAACCTGAGTCCTGTAACTGCCTATACAGGGCTCTTTTCAACTGTGTCTTGGTGCCTCCTTGAATAAGCACATTTTAAACCTCTGGCAGTAGCTCACTTATTTTAAGCAGTGTACACACACACACACACACACACACACACACACACACACATCCCATTAAAATTAAGGGCAGGGGACATTGTTTTGTTATAGTGGGATTTTGTTCAAATGAATTTAATACTAGAGGTATTTCTATATTGTAGTAAGACTTCTTGATTAAACATAGTAAGCATTCAGCCTCTCCTATAACAACTTACTGTGCAAAACAAACACATATAATTTATGCAACAACAAACTTCTTGTCTTCTGGTTTATGTTGTACTTTGCTTTGGAAGGGATTTGGGGGGTATTTGAGAATGGGAAGAGGAGAGGGAATTTGGGAGAATTTCAGAAATAATTGCTAGCACAGTAGAAGTATAAACAGCTTAGCTGTCATCCTCCATACTACCTACAATCAAGGATAAGCATTTGAGCACTGTGTTAGAGAGAGTAGGTATTAATATAGATGGAGAGCATAGAAAACACTGTTAATTGTTTATTATTATTATCTTTATTTTTAAATTATTGTTTTTAGTTTTTAATTATAATTATCTATTATTAATAGATCCTTTAGGATGAAGAACAGTTTTAGAAGGTACCCTTTTTATTGTGCAAGCCTTGGAAATGAGGCTTTGAACTTGAATCAAATTCCACTAAATAATAATCATTTCACTAGGCTAGCCAAGCCAGCTTCTAAGAATGGGTTTCTTTGAGCATTTCTGAAATAGGAGATTGTTGAATAACTCATGAACTGATTGGTGTCATATTCAACCAGGCTTGCCAGACGTGGCCATTGGTAGAAAAAAGAACATGTTGGCACGGTCATGCAGGAGGAGGACTTCACACAGACCCGAAGGAAGGGGTAAGAGGAAGTCACTAAATGTTGCTGGAAATTCCTATTCATGATTCTCTTTATGTATCAGATGCATAATTAAAAGACTTTTATGCTATTTCTGTACTAGAAAAATGTGGTTGGTCCAGTTAATTACAGTTTTTTGTATATTGCTAAACCACAGATTTGATGTTTGCTGTCTAGATAAGGCCTTAATATCAGTTGATGGTCCATATGTTTTCAACTTAAACTTTCTAGTTTTGTAATATCACATTGATGGTGGTTGTTGAACCCATCCTTGTCAGTGTGGTGGTTAATTAGTCATAACATATTCAGGTAAGGTTTATGGCATGTTTTTTTTTTCCCCTGGTTGGTTTGTTTTGAAGCCTAATGTAATTTTTCCCTTCTTTCCCACATCTCTTAATTTATTTGCGTAGAATTAGTTATAATAATAACTTACAGCTACGTAGCACTTAATGTGATCTAATAGAATAATAGACTTGGATTTAGGATGTGGATTCAAATCCCAGCTCTGCTATTTTTGTGTGACTTTGGCCAATACCAGGTACTTTTTCTGTAAAATGAGTAGGCTGGCCTAGATAATCTCTAAGGTTCCTTCTAGGTCTAAATTATGTGTTTGGGTTCAGAAAGTGCTTCCTTCACCACGATTCTGTGTGAGGTGGGTAGTTCAGTGGTTATTATCCCCATCTTGCCAATGAAGATCCTCAAGTCTAGATTTTCCCAGGGTCATACAGCTAATATGAAGTAGCCAAGCCAATGTTTGAATGTTGGTCTCCAGACTGCAAATCCATTGCTCTGCTGCTAGGGTCTCCTGAAAGTAGATGGCAAATCTTCCATCTCTTTATAATCGTGTAGACAAAATAAAGCAGTAGAACCACTGCAGTGTTATGTAGAGTCTGGTCTATTAGTGGGACAGAGTTAACATAATGACCTCCATTTCCTTTTTGGGAGGCTGAATTTTCACTCTATTTCTTTTGAGTAGATCCATACTGCACTAGTAGTATACTTTCTCCTTCTTTCTTTTATCATCTTTCTTATTCCTTTTGTCTCTCCTTCAGCTGAGCCCCATGTCCAGAGAACTAGAGCATTGTGAGTGTTGGTGAAAAGGGCTAAGTTGGAGAATCATTTCCTTGTCTCTCCTCTCAATGCCTCTGATACTAGTAGTGGCTTCCTCCTAAGAAGCTATGGGGATCAACTATGATAGAGTAGAACAGAAAAAGAGAACCATATAATAAATCAGTAAAAAAAAATCAACAAGAAGTTACTAAGTGCTTGCTACATGCCAGGCCCTGTGCTAAGCACAGGGCATACAAAGGAAAAGTGGTAATGATCCCTTCTACGTTCTAGTGGGAGGAGATATACTTGTGTATAGGTATATCCAAAGTCCATATATTGGCTATATACAAGATAAGGACAAAGCAGAGGGCAAGGTGCTGGCAGTCTGGGCGATCAAAGAAGGTGGCACCTTGAGCTGACTCTTGAAGCAAGCCCTTTAAGTTCAGCCTCTCTACAGAGTAGTTCTTTATGTACATGCCTTAGCTTCCTTTGCCTTGTAAGCTCTTCAAGGTCAGGGACCTGTCTCATTTATACTTGTATACCCTGTCCATGGTCAATGCTTGACAAATGGTTGTTGAATTGAATTGCAGTTCTAAGTTCTTTATGATTAAAGCTAGCAAATAATAGCACCATATAGTTAATACGCTTTAATAGCAACACATAGTTAAGACTATTATCAATTTATTCTTCATGTAAACATGATGAAATTAGGGTTAGAACTTGACATTCTATTTCTGTTCCACAATTTAACATGGTGCCTGCCAGCTTTTCTTTCAGTTGATAATGATGCTTAAAGTGTCAGTTCCAGCTAGTTTTGAAATTTAAAGCCATTTAGCTGCAACAACAACAAAAAATAGGTGCCTACAGAGATCCTGTTGTGATTGTATCTGTGTCAACAGGATGGCAAGGGTAGTTCCATTCTTACTTTTACAAGTCTGTTCATGAAAACATTTTAGTGTCTGTTTTTGCAGAGTGGGGTAGTCAGGTTACATAATCACTTAATTAATATAGTCATCAACATTATAGATTTTTTCTAACTTTTAAAAAAGTAACCTCCCCCAACATATAGAATGGGAAATTCGAAGACTCTCAGACTAATTTGCATTCCCCCTTTCTTAAAAGACGTCACTGAATCCATCCATCCTTTCTAGCTACCATCTTTATCTCTTCTCCCTTTTGTGGCAGAACTCCTTGTTAAGGTTAATTGTTACCTCCACTTCCTTTCTTCTCTCTCTCTTCTTAACTTTTTGTAGTCTGCCTCCTACCTTATCATTTAGCTGAAAGTACTTTCTCCAAAGTTAACATTAATCTCTTAATTGTCAAATCTAATGACTTTTTTCTCAATCCTTATCCTTCCTGACTTCAGCTTTTGACACTCTCTTCATCTCGCTAGTCTCTTCTCTCTAGGTTTTCACAATATTCTGCTCTCCTGATTCTCTTCCTTCTGACTGCTCCTCCTCAGTATTCTTTGCTGAATCTTCATCTAAATCCTGCCCACTAACTGGGGGTGTCTCCCAAGGTTCTGGCCTTGGCTCTCTTCCCGCCCCCCCCTTCCTTACAATTTAATTTAGTGATTTCACCAGTTCCCATGGATTCAGTTATTATCTCTATTCATATCATTCTGAGATCTATTTATCCAGCCTTAACCTCTGTTCTGACCTTCAATATCATATCTCCGACTGCCTTTTGAATATCTCATACAGGATGCCTCATAGACATCTTAAACTCAACACATTCACAGCTGAACTCATTATTTTTCTCTTAAAACCTTCCTCTCTTCCTAACTTCTCTCTTATTGTTGAGGATACCACCATCTTCCCAGTTATCTAAGCTCACAACTTCAATGTCATCCTAGACTTCTCGCTAGCATTCACCCCTCCCCCACTTAATGTTTTCAAGTCCTGTTCATTCTACCTTTATAATATCTCTCATATAAGCCCCCTTCTCTCCTCTGACACAGAAACTACCCTTCTGCAGGCTCCTATCACTTCACATCTGACTATTGCAATAACCTTTTGTTTGGCTTCTCTTAGACAAGTCTTTTCCCACTCCACCCAACTTCTGAATTTATCTTGCTAAAGTATGGGTCTGACCATGTCATCCTCCTATTCAGTAAACTCCATTGGCTCCCAACACCTCTAGAATAGAACATAAAATCATCTCTTTGGTTATTAAAGCCCTTCATACCCTGGCCTCTTTTTTGCTTTTCTAATCTTATACCTTCCTCCATCCATTTATTCTACAATCTAATAACATTGGTCTCCTTTCTGTTTCTCTCATAATACACTCTATCTCCTTACTCCATACATATTTATTGGTTGTCCCTCATCCTTGGAATATCCTCCCTCTTCATCTGGCTTCTCTGGCTTCCTTCAGTCTCAGCTAAGACCATACTTTCTACAAGAAGCCTTTCTCAGTCCTCCTAATGCTAGTGATTTCTCTCTGAGATTACCTCTAATTCATGCTGTATGTTGTTTTGTGTCTCCCCCATTTGAATGTCAGCTCCTTGAGAGCAGGGACTGTCTTTTTGCCTCTTTTGGTATTGTCAGTTCTTATTAGCACAGTGCTTGGCACATAGCAGATGATTAATAAATGCCTGTTGCTTGCTTCCTTGCTTACATATAAATCAGTCGACAAATATGATGATGTATTTAGGCCTACCATGTGCCTGTTACTGTGTTATACAGTGGTTATACTAATACAAAGGTGACAAGGCAGATTTTAGCAGAATTACTTAGAAATTACCTAGCCTTCTACTAGTAGGCTAAGTTAAAAGCAAATGATTAAGAGCTCCTCCAGTCTACTCATTGTGTTTCAAAGAATCCAGTTTCTTGCCACTACCTTTGACCACTTTTCCCTTTCCTCTATTTTTATTTTTAAGAATTCAGTCTGAAAATGACCCCTTTTCTATTTTTGCTTTCTAGTTAGTTTGAACTGAAAAAATGAGCTGATTAGACAGTGATATCTAATTTAGTCTTACACTTGTTGCTTTTTTCTTTTCTAGAGGCAGATGGGTGGCATGGTGCTGTATTTGGAGTTAGGGAGACCTGAGTTCAACTCCTAGCTCAGACTCATATTAGCTGTGTGACCATGGGCAAGTCACTTAACCTCTGTCTCAATTCTTCAACTGTAAATTGCATAAAATGCCACCTGCCTCCCAGTGTTGTTGTAAGAGTGAAATGAGATTATTTTATAAATATATTTATTTATTTATAAAATGCATTGCAAACTTCAAAGTGCTATATAAATGCTATTATTTTAATGGTTTACTACCCACCCCCCCCATTTTTGGATTCCTTTAGTATTCCTCTTGGATGTCCAGGGCCAAGGAATTAACTGTGATGGTTTCAGTTAATTCCACCAATTTCATTTTTGTTTTTCAGAGAAATTGCTGTGGAATTCTTTAAAGAAAAAAATCCCCAAACCATAACCTTTAGTCTCTCAAGTGCCTATCAAAAGCCTTATCTTTTTTTTAAAAAAAAGTGTTAGTTTCCCTTTCTTCATCTTTCTCCTTTTATAGATTTCCTGAGCCATGTATGTATGTATGTATGTATGTATGTGTAAAAGGAGGTGGGGGGGATAGAATATGAATTTTTTTTAAAATGCCCTCCATTCACTTATTGGATTTAGATTTGGCCTTAGCTTAAAAAGGAGAAATTATTTTTTTCAAACTTTGTACTTTACCTAAACTAGAACTGAAGTCATGTACTTTATAGCTTAATGGATTCATAATGCGTAATTACACAACTTTGGAACCCATTTTGTTAAATGAAGTGGTGACATTTTATGCACAATTAACCCAACTAGAATAATTTTCTTGCTTTTAGCCATAAGTTCTCTGTGTCCTTATTGGTGTATATTGTAGGAAATCCTGACAAGAGAGAGAGCTTCCCATAGCCCTGCAGGGCAGGGGCTTTTTGTTGTTGATTCATCAAGAAAAATAAGGCTTACGGTACTCAGGAAATGCTTAAGCAATTGAAATGTCCCTGTCTGTGTTCTAAATGCACCAAAATGATACTGATTTAGTAATAGTATGGTTGGAAAAATGAATTTTAAAATTATAGTTCCCTTCTATTTACCAAAAAACAGCTACCTACTTATTAGAGTTCTTATGTATCTCTTAAATGTACCTGTGTTTGTATGTGTACACACACATATTTTTGGTTTAATTTTGTTTAACATACTTTCAATATTTAATATTAATGCTGCCATAAGGTTTTAAAGCAGCAGTAGACTGTAGTTTCTTCTGTTTTCAATACAGTATGACATTGATCTTATTTATGGCAGTCTATCCTCAGCAAACTGACAAAAATAGACTCTGAATATAGTTTGTGAAACTACAAGCAGAAAATGGCTAGGTGCAATTTATGAGTTTCTTTTATATAGTACATATTTTTCTTTTCTTAATGGAAAAAAACTGCTTGAAATCAAGTAACTTTTATCACCTTTTCCTGAAAGATAGCTTTAGTTACTGCTTTAATACATACTAGTATGCTCCCTCCTTCCACCCCAATTTTAGTATATCCAGTTTATGTGTCTTTGATTGTTTTCATTTGTGCTCATATACTTTAAAGTAAAATAAAGTGATTTGCTGGGGTTATTGCGGCTGGTGAGGAAAAGGCAATGAAAATTTGAGTTTAAAGAAGCAAATTGGATTAAGGTCAGAGTTGACGAGTGCAGCTGGCAGGCTGTGTTGTTGAAGATGTTTAGTTTTATGCTGTTACTTGGCTCTATTTAGCCAGTACTGGGTCCTAACGCTGCTGAATTGTGTACTATGTTCTATTATGAGAAGTGACTTAGGACCTTGAAGTATTCTAAATGACAATATGAAATAAATTAAAAGGACTCATGATGAAAAATGCTGTCCATCTCCAGACAAAGAACTGATGGACTCAGAATACAGATTGAAGAATATTTTTTTCTTTCTTTTTTTGGGGGGGGGGGGGGGAGGATCACAGCTATTATGGAAATATATTTTGCATGACTTCATATATATTAGATATCATATTTCTTACCATCTTAATGGATGTCAGATGGAATAGAGGGAGGGAGAGAATTTGTAATTGAAAATAAAAAGAAATTTAAAAAAAATTCCAAAAGTATAATATTTCTGACTATAAGCTTTGAGGTAGAGACATTTTTCTATGGTTTTATGGAATTTTCTGATAATTTAATGAAGATAATCTCCTTCCCTTCTGACCTTCTCTAGAATAGGTTAGGATCTAAGATTGGTATTTCAGTTTTTAAAATTAAGAGAAATCCTTGAGCTTAAAAAATGTTTTGGAATAGCTTTACATTTCCTAAAATTGTTTTGGTATTTTGAAAAATACTGGATTTAAATTAGAATAAGTGATATAGTGTCATTCCCTTTAAATTACCTAATATTTGTGCATATGTTTCAAATATTAAAGCATATTTACATTTGAAGTTAAATCTTAATATTTCTTTTTTTTTTTCTTTAAACAGCTAAAAGATGTAGATACCCAAAAAATCCTAAAAGTAATGCTTTCGTATGTATGGCCAAAGGACAGACCTGATCTTCGAGTTCGAGTTGCCATTTCTCTGGGCTTATTAGGAAGTGCAAAGGTAAGAGAGATGGACTTGAAGTGGCTATTCTTGTAACTTAGCAACTCCCTGCTGCATTCTAGCAGTGAGCCCTTGGGATCAGAGAATCAGAGCTGAGAGAGACCTCAGAAATCTGCTAGGCTTCTTTGCAACATCCATAACCAGCGGCCAGCTAGCTGCCAGCGATGGGAAGCCCATGATATATGTGACACTGAGGATTACGACTATTTACCTGAGTACTGTCAAAATTATTCCTAGAGGAGTAAACTCCCTCTCTGGTGGTCAGGCATCTAGGAGCCACACACAGCCTTCTATAACAGTCACAAACTCTGAAAAAGGGCAATAGCTGTAATAAAGCCCGTGCACATTATTTTCAGAGGCTTTATAAACTCTGGGATTTATTGTTCACTAATTCACAATAGATTAGACAAAACAAATTGAAAGGTGGTTAAATCTGTTACTAGAGACAGTGAAGAGATGTAGCTGACAGTTTAAAACCAAGGGAGGAAGAAGAAAACCTCGACCAGAGATGTGAAGTAAGCACAAACAATACTGTATATGCCTGTTGTCTTCCCTGTTAGAATATGAGTTCCTTTCAAGTAGGGATTGTTTCATCCTTTGTATTTGTAGTAGGCTTGACACATTAGACAATTAATAAATGCTTGTGGATTGATCACTTTATTACAAGATAGATCACTTTATTATGAGATGTCTATATGATAAATACTGTGAGTCATCAGAAAAGGTTATATTATATTGTAACTCTCAGTTTGAGAAAGCAGATCAAGTATAACATACGTCTTAGAGTTCTATAAAAAAACCAAAGTTTTGACTGAAAGGTGTAAGCTTCGTTTATCTAGAAAATTAACTTGTATGATATAGCTCATTTCCAAATGTTATTAGATAAATAAGCTATTATTGTCCTTTAGCTGCTGCTTCGAAGTATTTGGATAAAACATTTTCTATCTTCAGAGTTATTTCTTATTTATTTCTTCACTAGGGCCACCTATTTTTCCTTGGTAGGACCCATTTTCCTCTCCTCCATCTCCCTTTTTAGTACTTAGTGCTTCTGAGCTCTACTTTAGCCTTTTCTCAGGTTGCCAAGCAACAGACAGATAATCCATGCTGTAGGCTGTTTGTTGAAGTCCAAGGGACAGGAGAGTTCTAGCAGTCTGATTTCAATAACTAACAGTGCAATGTTTTCAACCCTTGTAATAATATTACAGTTAGCACCATACTTGCAGCGATTCTATATTTTATATACAAGTTATATAAAGTTAATATTTAGCTTTTAGGCAAATTATGAGTGGCAATTTAACCTTTAGCATTTTAGTAACTGGTGATTTAAAAGTAAATTTATGTTTATTCTTTTCTGGACTTTGTGTAGAGCAAAGGGGAACAGATTAGAAGACTGATGAAGTCCTTCACAAGGAGGAGTTTGAACTAATGAGATTTGTAGGGGATTTGTTTTTAAGGAATAAGTTCAGATCCTCCAAAATGTAGATTCCTTTGCTCTTCAAAGAAAACAACTGTTTTGATCAGAGCAAAATGATTGGGAATAAAATCTTATCGAGGTAGAGACCTTAGACATAAGCTAACTTTCTAGGTGGCTAAACTATCTGTAGGTTAAGTGCCTACTTAATGGAATGGAAGCCAGAGTCATTTTGTCAAATAGATAGATGCAGGAAAGGGAAACATTTAGATGATATGCTTAATTCCTTTTGAAATAGGAAAAAAAACAAAGCACAATGTCATGGACTATGTCTACTGGTGTTGGCAGTGCCATAGAGGAAGATTATTGTTGCCATTTCTTAACTTTAGGGCATTCCACTGAGCCTAGAGTGTTTGGGGGAGTATAGAACCCAAGTGTACTCTCTAGTCATTCTTTCCCCAGATTCTGCATTGATTTTGGCATATTTAATACCCATGTTTCAACATCAAGGGTCATTATTTCAATCCTTGATGCTACTGTTAGAATTTTGGGCAGCATTGCAAGTGTATTATTGTGTAATAATAATAATAGCTCATATTTACATGGCATTTTAAGATTTATGAAGCACTTTCCTCTTAACAGCCTAGTGAAGTAGATATAGCAAGTTGAAGCCTAGAGAGGTTAGTAGGTTGGCTGGTAATAAACTTAGCCAAAGTCTTCCAGCTGGTGCTAATTAGCATTTATATAGGACTTTTGGGGATACAAAATACTTTACATATGTTATCTCGTTTGATCTTCACAAAAACCCTGGGGGCTAGGTACCTGCTATTTCCCCATTTTACAGAATGAGGAAACTGAGACAGAGATTAAATGACTTGCCCAGAGTCACAAAGCTAGAAAGAATCTGAGGCCAGATTTAAACTCAGTTCTTCTTGACCTCAGATCCAGTGCTCTACCTCAGTGCTTTACTGTAAAGAACCATCTGCCTCTAGTAAGTGTCTGACTGGTGGTTCTAACCCAGGTCTTTCGACAGCAGGCCCAGTGTTCTTGCACTGTACCATGTCGTCTCTGTCTAGTCAATCTAGTACCCTGCTTCAGTGCTTTAACATGTAAACAGTTTCAGGATGAAGTCGACCCCTCTGCACTATGTGCAGTGGTGGCTACCTGGTGCTTTCAAACCCTATTACTGGCATGTTGCTCTAACTGTTGAACTTGAGAGAATTTTGTACACTGTAAAAAGCTTCTTAGTAGCTTGGCTAGTAAATATCAATCAGTCGATCAATGAGTGTTCATTAAGCACCTGCTATGTACCAGTCACTATGCTGAGTGCTAGGGATCTGTTACTATATATTTTCTGCATTAGGTTATATTGGAATTTTTTTTTATCCAACTACTAGCTTAAAATTTTGTATTGTACTTTATTTTTCCAAGTATATTTTAAGTTTAAGTTAAATCTTAAGTAAATTTTTTCCAACAGGGCTGAATCTTAGAAAGGAGATTTTATTTAAAAAAAAAATCCTTCATCACATTTTAAAAATAATCCCTTAACTAAGCAAAAGAAAGGAAGTTACTAGCCACACTCCAGGGCATCTATCACATTTTCAGAATGAAGCCATTAATTCTTACTCCAGATTAATTCTTTCTACTCAATCATACCCCTTCATTCCCCCTCTACTCACACCTTGGAGGAATGGACTAATTCAAGAAGCAATAATATGAGTAATGGACTGAGAAGAATGACTTCTATAGTATAATTTGAAAGGTAAATGATGAAGGTGCTACTTAACGTTTATAAGACACTTTTTAATTGAATCCATCCAATATGATTTGTCTAAAAACTATCACAGAAGTATACTTATGAAGTTGTCATTTCAACTTTGAGTACCAGAGTCTGAAAAAAGATTAATTTGCTAGGTCACTTCTGGTGGTGATGTCATTTTTTCAGTTTGATAAATACTTGATATACTGCTGTTACCACCATTTTACAAATGAGGAAACTGAGACTGAGTGGGTCAAAGTGACCTGCCCAAGGATACACAGCTAGTGAGTATCTGAAGCATGATTCAGTTTAGGTCTCTCTGACTCCAGTCTAGTGCTCTGTACATACACTTAGGTGTGTCGATGACTTTTCTAGGTATTCTCAGTTGTAAAATGAAAGGGTTAGACTAGATTTTAAAAATTCATTCCAGCTCTGAATACTGTGATTTTAGGAAACAGAAAGAGGAAAGTGATGCATATATTGAAGAGTGGCATAGTGTCACCAACCAATAGCCTCACTGTTATTAGTGCCATAGTAATGAGTAATTTTTTTGTATCTTTATATATATTTGAACTCTGCCCAAGCTTCACACTAGGCATATAAAACCATGCTACCTTTCACTTACTCTTTCTTTTTCCTTGTTCTCTTTCAATTTTGGAGACCACAACTCATCTTGTATACTTTAGTTGTTTCCAATGCTGTTGTATACATTTTTCAATCACATAGTTGTTGTTGTTACCATTTTATTTTTTTCTAATTACATGTAAAAACAATTTTTTAACATTCATTTTAAAAAATTTTGAGTTCTAAAATCTCTCCTTGAGAAGGCAGGCAGTTTGATATAGGTTATATGTGTTCAGTCATGTAAAACACATTTCCAAATTAGTGATATTATGAAAGAAAACAGACAAAAAAAAACCCAAGTAAAATAAACTTTAAAAAAGTATGCTTCAATCTGCTTTCACTTTCATACCTTTCAACTCACCAGTTCTTTCTCTGGAGGTGGATAGCATATTTTCATCGTAAGTCCTTCAGAATTGTCTTAGATCATTGTATTGCTGAGAATAGCTAAGTCATTTACTTAGATCATTGTACAATTTTTTAAGTGTCAGATTGAATTTATTTTCCTTTGTTTTTAATTTGAGGATTATTAAAGTGAACAATGACATGGCATATAATATACTTTATTTTTAAATTTAAAAAATTTTTTTTAACTTGCAAACATAAAATGAAGTGCTAAAATCCCATGGTATTAGAGATCAATGAGAAGTGAAAACAAAATATCTTTGAGTTAGTGATTTAAGTTAAAAGAAAGATATAATTTACAGAAATTTGATCTATATTCAGCTTTTCTGGAATGCTATAATAATATAAACTGAAGCAGACTTGCTTATGTGTTCTGATTCTCATTAACTAAAGGTTCCATCCATCCTTGTCCCTCTAATTATGCTATTAATGCCAGTCTGCTTGATTTTTATTTGAGTCTGCCTACCTTTTTCCCTTTAACTACAATCTCAGTGCATTGCTTCCAAAGTTGTATTGTGTTGATTTAAAAAATGTAGTGAAAAGTACCTTTTCTGAGAAAGGAATGTATTTCCTTTGCAGTAGTTCCTAAAGCCATTAATTGGGAAAACTGATTTGTACCCTGGAATGTTTTTGACTCACATCGCCTCATTAGTCCAGGAGCCTTGTTAACCTTTGGTCAGACAAATTGTAGGATATAATGTGATAAGACTGCATTAATATAAGAATTTTAATAAAAAGCTGCTTCACTTGTCACAAAACTCCTGCTGGTAGTATTGGGTGGTTCATTAAACATAGAGAAAAGTG